ACTTCCATTTCTCTCCTTCCTCACCCGTTTTTCACCCTGTTTTCTTTGTTGTTTGCTTATTTTGTGCTGTGCTGCATACAAGCCAAATAAATCACTACCTTTCTTTTAAAGGAAAAACAGAGAATCCTGTAGTCCCACCTCTGTAAATTCTGAGATGAGGTGTTATGTTTGTCTTTGCGAAAAGCCAGTAACTAAACTCTCTGTAGGAACCTGTTTTGTTGAAGGAGGAGGAGTAGAGACTGGCCCAGGGTGCCCAGAGAAGCTGTGGCTGCCCCATCCCTGGCAGTGTTCAAGGGCAGGTTGGACACAGGGGCTTGGAGCAAGCTGCTCTAGTGGAAGGGGTCCCTGCCCATGGCAGGGGTTGGAACTGGGTGAGCTTTAGGGTCCCTTCCAACCCAAACCATTCTGTGATTCTGTGAGAGTAAGAGTTCTGCACCTCACATGAATACTGCCAGCCTGGGAAAAAATCTGAAGCCAAAGGCACATTTGGTCATTGTAAAACTCACTGCCAAAGTGAGTCTCAACTTCTAGTTTTAAAATGCTTTTAAACCTTGTTGTGTAAACGTCATCGATTCTATAGAAAAGCACTTGTCCCACAAATACTTCTGGTAAAACACAGTTGTTTCTCTGTTCCTCAGTCAGACAGGTATGTCCAGAATTAACTCTGACTTTGAAAATCTGTTTGTGCTGTTGATTCAGTTGGATGTCCTTAAAAACATCCAGATAAAATCATTTCATGCTCAGAGCTGAGGAGTTTGAACAGTGAGTTTAGTTGAAGTAGTAAAGAAGATGGCTGAGAGCTGCTTGTGAGGCTTTAGGCAGATTTGGAATGGAAAATTGGCAGATGAAAGATAATGTGGCTCGCAAGAATTGGTGCTTTTGCATGCTTCTCTGGTGAGCTGTGTGTGCACCTCTTAAGGGTTAGAGATGTTTGTTGTGACTTGGTCGCTTTGCTTTTCCATTAGGGTTTCTTTTCCTCAGCTTTTTGCTTTTATGACCTTTTTTCTTTCTTGCCAACATGGCAGCATCTTGGTTTTCTTGCTGCTTAAAGCATTCACACACATAGTTCACATGCAGTTTTCTGCATGTGAGGAGTGTCTCATTGTACTCATGTGCATGATGATAAATGTGGTTATTGTCTTCAGTTTTGTGTATTTTTTAACTTCCAGAGGTTTTATTTGTTCTTAACGTTTTTTAAAGTTGTTTTTAGTTCCACTGGAAGTGACAGCTCTGCATGCATGTGTGTGTGTGTATCCTCAAAGAGAATTAAATACCTGTTTTGCAGTTTGAAACAAACGGGTTTTCCTGTAGGATGTCTTTGTGCTGTAGCTCACAGATCCTTACACAACTCCTTTCCTTCCAATGCTTTTCCTGGCAGGAGGTGATGAGAGCTCAGGCATTTCTGAACCAGAACAAGGCCTCTGCTTTGTAGCTTTGATTCACTGAATTGAGTACCTCCAGCAATGTGGCCTTTCTTAGTTTCACATGCAGATGTGGATGATTCAGCAAGCTGTGTCACTTGTTTCTGTCTGAGGGTCAAGTTATACCAACTCCTGTAGAAGGCCTGTGGCTAAGATTTAACGCTGTATTTCTTCTTTTCCCCACTGACCCTCCTTCCGCACATATTCATTGTTCCCTATATTTGCTTTCCCTCAAAGCACTAAGCTCTGGTATTACCAGCCTATAAACATGGGTTTCATGCTGTTAGAATGCAGAGGTTTTCTTCTAAACGAATTATTGTGTTGGAACACTTTCCTTGTTACTCACTACATGAATTAATGTCAAGTTTTAGCAGTTTCACAACAGCCATGGTAAGATTTCTCTGGTACTCATTTTACAGCTGTAATTCATGTTACAGCATACATCATCTAGACAGTGCAGCCCACATATGCCTACTTGTAGTGTGTTCTTTCACCCAGAAATGTGAAGGAAAGATGACAGAAAGTAATCTTCAAAGCAGCCTAGCTAGAACTCAATAAAAATGTTTGCAGTATTCTCACTTGGGTTTTGTAAGAGCTTAATGGTAATTAAGGAACCCATAGTGTGTGGAAATTAACACCCCAAAAACTCACACAAACCCTACCTTTACTGAACAACCAAGTCTATTTCAAAGGGTCTCATATTGCTGTGTATGCATTTCTTGGACTAAAAGCTGGAAGAAAGGAAATCTCTTCATGCTTTTAACATCTTTGTACAAATTAGGAAGCACTGCAGCTACTGGAGGAACTTGTCTTTATTTTTATATATATATATATGTAATCATTTAATTTCAGGCATGGAAAAAATCATTTTTCTAGGACATTTATTGCATACAAGGACAGAAACTAAATAAGTTACAGATGTTGAGGAGCCTTTTTCCATGCTATCACATAGCTACTGTGGATCACCTGGAGGTTATAAATGGATTAACAGCGTAGAAAGACGAGTTTTGTATGATTTAGATGACAAGTTCTTGGCATGTTCTTTGAGTATTCTTTCTTAATTCAGACTTTATGCTATTCTAACATTCAAAATTAGTAAGATTGAAAGCATGGTAGTGTATAAATCCAGTACCAGGAATATTTATTATGGGCAAAATTCACTTTTATTCAGAAGACAAGAGCTTCAGCTTTGCCTGACTCTGTGTTTGAGGTGCAGATGGAATTAAATCAAGCAGATGTCTTGTGCCAAACTGAAGCAAGTTCCAGAAGTGAACTTCTGTTCATATAGAATAAAGAACAGTTTTGAAGAGGCTGGTGTAGCACACAGTATATTGCAGAGCACTTAAAGTGTCCGTGCAGCTTGTTCCTCTGTCCCTCATTTGGTCTTCCAGTGCTGCGCTGTGAAGAAGTGGAAGTCCACAAATCCATGCTCTAGATTTTAGCCTGATTTGTGAATAGTGGGGCCCTGTAGTGAAAGAGAATGGACCATGAGACTTGTAATTGTGAGAGTTGCTCACTGGAGCCCACTGCTGAGGCCCTTTCCCACCGTGTAACCTGCTGCACTGTCTTGCAACCATTTATGTAGGTGTTCTCCATATAGTGTGCCAGGTGAATAACCCTGTAAGATCATTTAACAAGTAGAATCTCCCTTCTGGGGACAAGTAATTGAGGAGAGGGCTCAGCATGAGAATCTTCCTTTGCCAAGTCCGTAGCAAGGTAGACAATGAGTACGTTCAGAGCATAGGCTTACGTATCTAAATAGTTGAACAAAGGATAAGTAGGGGAAAATAAAAGCAGAGGTTTTTTCAACAGCACGCCTGGGTAGGCTGTGCTTATTATATGTAAAATGAGGTTCCTGAAGTTATACATTCCTAAAGATAAGGGTAAGTTCCACATCACCTTTGGCCTTCAGTGAAGACTTTGAAAAATCAAGAAAATGCCGGTTTAATTGCTTGGTAAAACCAGACTGTTAAGTACTTCTGATTTACATTTGATTTATCTTGTCATGGCACATGGCATCGTTGTGTTCTTCTCTGCCGTCCTATGTCCTAGCTGGCACAAACTGTAAGTTTTCATTTAGTGTATATAGAAACTGATCCGTGATGGTAGTTTGTTATGCTGCTGTGATAAATAATACTGACCTTGGCTGCTGACTTTCCTCTGTGTACCTCTATCATGAACCAGTCACCAAAGGTTGAACTCGTAATACTGACTGTGAAAATGAACATAGCTCACTTCTAACCACAGCACTTGTGTCAGGGATAGACACATTTGCATGTGTACGGTCCTGTGGAATCTTAATTACAAATAGCTATGAAGAGTGAGGTGCTCTTTATGATTAAACAAAGGAATTAAACAAAATTATTTTCCCAACAGCTATTTTATATCATTTATTTTGCATAACATTTGAGCAAGGATACCCATTTCTCTTTTTTCCGTACAACAGAGCTTTTGCTTACTAAATAGATGCAGAGTGAATAGAATTTGTTTGGTTATGCTGACTTCAAAAGTTTTCATATTTTTTTAGGAAACACAACATTAAATTAAATTTAGATGAATACATTTAATGAGAAGTATGTGACCTTTTCTGCTTATAATGGGAAAGTAGTGTATTACATGAATTATACGCAAGTGGATGTGATGAAAAACTTTGGCTGAGAATATGAAGGGTGTTGACTGCTAAGGAGAAAGATTGCAGTGGAAAACTCGATGTAAATTGTTCTATGACACCATCAAGCAGTGAAACACATCTTCATTCTTTCTGTAGTGGCAATGTGGATCATTCTGGGTCCCCCCATAGCTGGTGTTTACGGCTGGCTATTGCAGTGTGTTGAGCTTCAGTCTGCGAGAACTTTCCGTTCATATCCTAGTTCTCTAAATGATGTCGTTGTGCTTGGGAGAACTTGTCCATTGAGCACTCAGTTGGAATCATGATGTAGCCAGTGATGGAAAACGGAACTGAAAACTATGTGATTCTGCATAGAGCCTTTCAGTGACACTGGGCTTTTTAATACTGAGGTTGAAATTTATGGCCAGGGGAAACAAGGACTTAACTGTGCAGATGTTAGTGAGGAGCTCCACCCCAAAGAAAAAAGTGAGAGAAGGTTCAAAGATACCTGTGAGGAGGCTTGTGCATATGCCTGAGCAGCTGATAGTATAGCTTATCAGAGGTGAACTTTGAAAGATGAATGAATGGGTGACAGTGGATTGGGAAAGAGATACTGGGAAGGATTTTTAAACTGGAGAAAGTGTGGGGAAGGTTACATATATAGTAGGTACTGTAACCAAAGTGTAATCTAGGAAAATGATCTTTTGCAGCAGTGTCATGAATGAGCAAAAGCTTGTCAAGTTAGCAACTGCTGTAGAAAGGCAGGCTAGAGTTACTGGTTCAGATGAGAGCATACACAAAATCTCTGTTCGATGTCAGTATGCAGAAAAACCTTTGAGGTGTTTAGCAGAAAGGTGACCAGAGAGAGGTCCAGGTAATGGAGTTCATAGCTGGTTTTGCTTGCATGGCCAATACATCAAAGGAGACTTTTGTACAAACGTGAATTTATGCTATTGATGTTCTTCTTTTAGGTAAAGAAGATGAATTCCCAAAGAAGCCAATGGGGCAGATTCCATCAGGACCTCAGCCTCTGATGCTTAACTCTACCCCAGTGCTTAATGGACAGAACAGCACTGGTACACAGACAAGGACAGAAAGGAGACTATCCACAGAAGAAGCAGGAAGTTCACCAAATAACTGGAAAAGAATGAATTCAGTGGGAAAGAAACCTTCCTTAAAACAGCAGAAGGCTCAACTGATAGAGACACAAAGTAGTATGTCTAAGAATGAGGTAGACACCAGAAGAAAGCCTCAGCCAGCACAGCAGGAAAACTCGAGACAGTATAATAATGCAGCTGCTAATCAGAATTCTAATGCTGCTTCAAATACTAGAAGGGAATTTATACCTAAGTGAAATAAGCCATCTGATAGCAGAATAATTGAAAAGACAATGAAACTTTCTGCAGAAGTGAAAGACAGGCCAGTAAACCATTCGGTTTCAGGCCCACCACCAAGTCCTGTAGACACGCAGCCTTTGAATGTAAAGCAGAAGATGAGGGGTTTGGTTGCTGATGAAGGTAAGCGAGGGTCGAATGCGTCTCAGTATGACAACGTTCTGGAAACTGAGAATGAGAATCTTGTTGAAGAGATGCTTGAGAGATCTCAGCCACAGAGCCTGAGGCATGGTGCATATTCTAATAGTCCAGGAAAGCAACCTGACAGAAAACCAGCTCCATTAAAAATACCCAGTTACACCTTCACTTCACAACCCAGATCTCCAAAATACTCCTTGCAATCCAATGGACCACCTCACGGACTGAATGTAGAACAGCAACTGCCACATTACAGGAATCCACCTTCTTACCATGGAAATTCCCGAATGCATGTTTCCAGTATAGGCAATATGAATTCTGTTCCTCTACATTATCATGGGAATCAAACCAGCCCTTCTGGGAGGCCATATGGTTCTTTTATTTCAGTAGATTATTCTCCAGATAAATTACAAATGAATTCCTATCCTGCCAGTCGCCAAAATCCTCTTTCAACAACCCCTGGGCAGATAGAAGTAGCCCCTGTTGATACTTATACCAGCAACTCAAGATCCCCCCCAGGTGTCAAATTCATAACCCCTCCAGTGGATTATTTACCAGAAGATAGAAAGTGGCCAGATGCTGCTTATATGTACAGACATGAACCCTACAGGCAGCCCTGGAGCCGAGATGTTAATGAAGGCCACTTGGAAGATTTCCAGGTGTATCAGCAATTTCAGTCAACAGATTTTCAAGACCATACCGTTAGTCCCGTTTGTGTGAATAGTCCAATAAGATACAGGACTTCACCAGCCTTTGAAGACCAGGGCTCACCATAGCACCAATATTCAAGCCGGTCTGCACAAGCCCAACACTCTCAAAATAGAAATGATGGATTGTCTGTGCATGAATCTGTGCCTCTCTGAGAATCTTAACTAAACTCAATAAACCGGCAAAGCCCAAACGCAATCAAACATTACTGCGTTAGCAGTCAGTTCTTCTATGAAATACAGACAGTTCACATGCATCTCAAAAATGACACTATTTCAGAGATGTTTCAGACTTTCATTGAAGGCTAGTTGAGTCCTTAGACTTGCATTGAAGCTATTGAAGGTGATCCAGTGCACATAGACATAGCAATAAGATCGTATGCGTGGTGTGGTTAATACTGTCATTGTTCTTTATGGTTTTTAAATAACTTGTGTTACAATCCTGCCTAAAACCTGTAACACATTGACAAGTTTTATGTTGACCAACATGGTTAATGCACTGTATAATGTGTGTGTGCACACGCGTGCAGGTGTGCACTTACAATACATGGCCATGTAGGGGGAATAGCTAAAGAGTTTAAATGTAAATGCATTTAACTTTGGGCAAAGCTTGTGAAGTACTTTTATTTCTTATTAATTTTTCTTTGTAACTTATTCTAGAAGCCATTCGTTTTGAATGGGATTTTCTGTCATTTTTAATACAGCTGCCTCAGCATCCCAGTATCTGTTCTGGGCAGGAGAGATGCTTTCGGATTAGAATCATCAGTTAGGGTTGGAAAGGACCTTAAGATCATCTAGTTCCAACCCCCCTGCCATGAGCACCTCACAATAAACCATGCCACCCAAGGCTTTGTCCAACCTGACCTTGAACACTTGCCAGGGGTGGAGCATTCGCAACCTCCCTGGGCAACCCATTCCAGTGCCTCACCACCCTTACAGGAAATAATTTCTTCCTTATATCCAATCTTAACTTCTCCTGTTTAAGTTTTAACCCGTTACCCCTTGTCCTGTCACTACAGTCCTTAATGAATAGTCCATCCTCAGCATCCCTGTAGCCCCCCTTTCAGATACTGGAAAGCTGCTCTGAGGTCTCCACACAGCCTTCTCTTCTCCAGGCTGAACAGCCCCAACTTTCTCAGCCTGTCTTCATACAGGAGGTGCTCCAGTCCCCTGATCATCCTTGTGGCCTCCTCTGGACTTGTTCCAACAGTTCCATGTCCTTTTTATGTTGAGGACACCAGAACTGCACACAATGCTGCAGGTGAGGTCTCACAAGAGCAGAGCAGAGGGGCAGGATCACCTCCTTGGACCTGCTGGTCACGCTCCTTTGGATGCAGCCTAGGATACGGTTGGCTTTGTGGGCTGCAAGCGCACACTGAAGCCGGCTCATGTTCATTTTCTCATCGACCAACACCCCCAAGTCCTTCTCAGCAGGGCTGCTCTGAATCTTCTCTGCCCAACCTGTAGCTGTGCCTGGGATTGCTCTGACCCAGGTGTAGGACCTTGCACTTGGCATGGTTAAACCTCATGAGGTTGGCATCAGCCCACCTCACAAGCGTGTCGAGGTCCCTCTGGATGGCATTCCTTCCCTCCAGCGGATCAACCGAACCACACAGCTCGGTGTCATCGGCAAACTTGCTGAGGGCGCACTCAATCCCACTGTCCATGTCAGCGCAAAGATGTTGAACAAGACCGGTCCCAACACCGATCCCTGAGGGACACCACTTGTTACTGGTCTCCAGCCGGACACTGAGCCATTGACCACAACTCTTTGTGTGCAGCCATCCAGCCAGTTCTTTATCCACCGAGTGGTCCATCCATCAAATTGATGTCTCTCCGATTTAGAGACAAGGATGTCGTGTGGGACAGTGTTGAACGCTTTGCACAAGTCCAGGTAGATGACATCAACTGCTCTACCCCTGTCCATCAGTTCTGTAGCCCCATCATAGAAGGCCACCAAATTGGTCAGGCAGGATTTCCCCTCAGGGAAGCCCTGCTGGCTGTCACCAAGCACCTTGTTGATTTTCATGTGCCTTAGCATGCCTTCCAGGAGAATCTGCTCCAAGATTTTGCCAGGCACAGAGGTGAGACTGACTGCTCTGTAATTCCCCGGGTCATCCACTTTCCCCTTCTTGAAAATGGGGGTTATATTTCCCTTTTTCCAGTCATTGGGAACTTCACCTGACTGCCGTGATTTCTCAAATATGATGGCCAGTGTCTTAGCAACTTCATTTGCCAGCTCCTTCAGGACCTATGGATGGATTTCATCAGGTCCCATGGACTTGTGCACGTTCAAGTTCTTAAGATGGTCTCGAACCCGATCCTCTCCTACAGTGGGCCTAATGTCACCATACCCACAGTCCCTGCATCTGCCTTCCAAGACGTGGGTGGTGTGGTCGGAGCCTTTGCCAGTGAAGACTGAGGCAAAGAAGTCATTCAGAACCTCAGCCTTCTCCAAATCCTGTGTAGCCAGTTCTCCTGAGAGCTTCCAGAGGGGGCCTACATTGTCCCTAGTCTATCTTTTAATCGCCATGTACCTGTAGAATCCCTTCCTGTTATCCTTAACATCCCTAGCCAAGTTTAATTCTAACTGAGCCTTAGCTTTCCTAACCTGCTCCCTAGCTTCCCAGACAGCATCCCTGTACTCTTTGCAGGCCGCCTATCCTTGCTTCCACCTTTTATAAGCCTCGTTTTTCATTTGAATTTTCCTCAGCAGCTCCTTATCCATCCAAGGAGGTCTCCTGGCCCTCCTGCTGCACTTCCTTCTAGTTGGGATGCAACACTCCTGAGCTTGCAGCAGGTGATCCTTGAATACCAACCAACAGTCTTGGGCCCCCCTGCCCTCTAGGGCTGTATCCCATGGAACCTTACTAAGCAGGTTCCTGAAGAGGCCAAAGTCTGCTCTTTTGAAGTCCAGGGCAGTGAGCTTGCTGCACGCTCTTCTCACTGTCCTGAGGATCTCAAATTCGACCATCTCATGATGGCTGCATCCAAGGCATCTCCTTGTCGGCTCCTCTGTTACTTGCAGAAGGAAGTTGTCCCCCACACAGTCGAGGAACCTCCTGGAGTGCTTGTGCTGGGCCGTACCGTCCTTCCAACAGATGTCAGGGTGGTTGAAGTCCCCCATGAGAACAAGGGCCTGTTTGCGTGAAGCTGTTCCTTGTCTATAGAGTGCTTCGTCCACAGATTCCTCTTGGTCAGGCAGTCTGTGACAGATCCCCACAGTAATGTCTCCCATCGCTGTTCTCCCTTTAACCTTGACCCACAAACTCTCCATTGACTGCTCACCTTTCCCCAGACACAGTTCCATACTTTCCAGCCTATCCCTGACATAAAGGGCAACTCCCCCTCTGAGCCTGCCAGCCCTGTCTTTTCTGAAGAGCCTGTAACCTTCCATTCCAACACTCAGTCATAGGAGCCATCCCACCGTGTTTCTGTGATGCCTGTTACATCATACCCCCGTAGACGTGCACACATCTCTAATTCCTCTTGTTTGTTCCCCATACTACAGGCATTTGTATAGAGGCATCTGAGCCGAGCTCCAAATGCAGCCGGCTCATTGCCTGGAGTGGCTGGGATATCTCTACATTGCTCTGAGCATTTATTATAGGTGCTGGACACTGACTGGGTGTGTTGGGATGGAATGATGCCCCCCTCCCCCAACACATCTAATTTAAAGCATCCTTAACCAGCCTGGCAAGCCTCCTACCAGAACAGCTCCACCAGCCCCCAGTAGACCTGGCCTACTAACTTGGGTCCTGTGTTCAAGACTCCCAAACCCCTGACTATGACACCACCCTTTTAACCAGTTATTAACCTGGCCAATCCTCCTAGCTTTTTTAAGGTCCTCCCCTGTACCCTGGAGAATTGATGAAAAGACCACCTGAGCTCCAGAGCCCCTAACCACCTCTCCCAGGGCTCTGTAGTCCTTCTTTATGTTCTCCAGGCTACTACTAGCTATATCACTAGCACCCGCATAGATCATATGGAGGACCTGAGGGTCCTTCAGTGGCTCGCACCGCTTTGAGTTGAGTCTCCTGGACGCTGATCTTCCCCCCGCTCCGGTGTTGAAGGCCTCCCTCCTCTCTCGAGCTGCTCACCTCAGCAATTCAGGATTGTTAATGTAATCTTATGTGATAGTTAATTTCCTCCCCTTTGACTACTGTTTGTCATTTTCCTCATCAAGAAGGAGCAGGTAGGCAGAAAGCAGAAAAACCAAAAATGTCTCTCTAATCTGGCTCAGAAATGGTGCTTAAAATTCAGGGCAGTGTTTAGGTTTTTTAGGTGGAGAATTTTCATCTTCTTACCCAAATCTACCTTCAGAATGTCGTCCTATATGCAAAATATTGGTGCACAGTGAGAATAATGCTAAACACAGAAATGGTGCTGCACCCTTCACTTGCTGCCAAGCTGTGCTGTCAAACTAGACGAGCTGGTTGCAGGGCCAAGTCTCACAGGTATCAGAGAGTGACCAGCTCCTCCACGCTCTTATGAAGTACGCACAGCAGTCTTGAGGTTTGGTCAAGGCTTTTCATGTTCCCTGAGCTGTGTGAGTGTGCAGCGTTCCTTCTCTTAAGCTTTGTCATGCCAATTCTGTTTTATGTCACCCTTTTTCACCCCAAAGAGCCCGTAGGTTCATGTCTGTGATCAGGTGTGTGCTGCTGTGCTGTCAGGCTGCTGAGAAACTGTGCGGTGTTTTTACACTAAAATGATCCTGACTGTTAATAGGAAGTTTAAACTCCTGTTAATATAAGTATTTTTAATTAGCCTTTGCAGCCTTTTCTGCTTCATGTTTTCCTTTCCTTGACTGTGAATTGGGGGGTGGAATAAAAAGCAGGTTAAGTGGCGCATGTAGGATGCAGTCCTGCGAGCTGCTGAGTGCTGCATGCCCCCTCCTCATGGAAACCAGTGGAGTCAAGATGGACAAGGGTCTCACCAGAAGGGGTCCCTGGAGTGCTGAGCAGAGAGATTTATTGTAATATAAGCATTGGTATCAACACCAGCTTTGGTTAGTTCGGAAGGTTCTCCCGTTCTCTTTTGTTTTATAAGATTTATTAACTGAAAACATAGAAATGGAGATTTATTTTTTTTTTCCTTTAAAGAATGAGCTTTAGTGCCTATTATTGCTGCAGGTTGGCTCTGTAAGTTTTAAGGTACAGAAGTAAAACAGTTTTTACAAATGGAAGTAACATTTACTTAGTATATTTCAAAAAAACCATGTTGTGTATATAATGTGTCTGATGTAATTTTTAATGAACTGGGCAATTTTCTATTTTAAACTGGCAAACTGCAGCCAAGTAACAGTAGCAAAGCACTACACTGAAACTAAAATTGTGAAGATAAAGATGACTTGGGCTTACTTTAGTTCTGATTGCTTGCAGCAGCTTAGAAATGTATGTATATATAATATTGTGGCTAA